AATTTGTTGCACCCTGATTTGTTTCCTACCACATCAAAATAATCCCATGTTAAAGATGGTTGTCAATTTGGTTGGCTAACCATAAAGTTTGATGTGGGCTTTCACGAGATACTCAACAATGAAAACTATAGCTCCTTGTAGAGCAATGTCTCAACTTTAATAATCAGTTTTATATCTCTGTGCCCGCATGATTGGGGGTGCACATAAATCAAAAAGAGGATCTATTACTTTCTTTTTGTGCAAAACAGTTAGGTCTGACACATCAAAATTTGTATTGCTGTCAGTGGATCAACATCACCAATATAACTCCCATTTTGTTTCATCATTAAATATAGTTTAAATTCTTTTTTATATATATATATATATATATATATTTTCTTTAATGATGCATTTTAAAACTATATAAAGTACTTATTTTATTTTGTCCAAACTGTTATGGTCAAATCACTTTTACCTCAGCTGTTTTTATGCATTTTCTTAAAAACAAACAGTTCACATTATTAAATCAAAAAGTAAATAACTGGATATATTCTTAGTTCTTCAAATTTTACACTCATTTGTCTAAAAAATTAGAATAAAATTTTTTAAAACGTCCAGTTTTTCATGGTTATTCATTTCATTTACATTCGTTGCTGGCAATATTTTCTCTAATTCTTGGGATTTAGGGATTACATTGAAAAGTTACTTAAATTTTCTTTAAAACAAAAAATGAAAAGTTCATCCAGTTATTTTTTTTAATATATAATAGTTATTTTTTTACTAATTCTAAGGATTAGGTCCTATTTCAGAGATTAAAATGAAATTGTTACATATTCTTTTTGTAGTGACACTGGTAAATTAATATGCCTAATTTGCATAAGTGCAAGAGAAAGCTTATATAACTCGTCACTGAGAATAACGTGGGATTTAAGACAAGCTTTTTCGACTGACTAGTGCTTAACTTTGACGTCACTTTAAGAAAACAAAAAAAAAGTTAGGGTACATTATATAGTTCAACTTTTGCAAACATGGAAGATAATAAACATAACTTTTTTTTTCTTTTTTTTTTTTTTTTTTTTCATTTAAATCCTTCAGTGGAGGATGAACTTCATTCCCTGAGAAGTAGTTTTCTTCAAAGTTGGAGTAACAGGCTAAAAAAGACCTCAAATTCCTTGCAATGAATAAAGTTAAAAACCAAAGGAATACATTAGTTACATAAACTTTTAATGGAACCTTATCTCCACCTCTAAATCATCACCTAAGGGAACAAAGGGAAGGGAAAATGGGATTTCAATGAATCCGAGTATTCAAACAACTGTAGTATTTGTGATGGAGAAAAGCTATATCAAATGACTTTGTTACAAGTGCCAAGGCCAAGACTGCAGTATAAGATTACTCCAACTTTTTCATGGATCAAGTCACTAATATTACATCTCCATACAGTGCTGTAATCAAAATTTTAGTTCCAATCAAAGGCAGAAATGATTATTTTTGATGGCTTTTGTTGGATGATATTGCGCAAATGGTGTCAACATTTGCTTTTAGATGGGACTTTGGTATAATACTATTTTCAAGAGATGATAGGATATGGAGTGTTTCAGTAATATTGGTTATAATAAAGGCTTATAAATAAATTCAGACTAGAAATCACCAAGAGAAAAGGAAATACAGGAGGACCATCCCAACTGTCCAGAAAGTCTTTCATCAGTTCAATAAATGTATTTTTTATTCAATTCAGTGTTTTATAGTTTGAAGAGAGATGAGTTTGAAGCTTTATTTGTTTGAAGTATTGAAAGATGAAAAATTTCTTGAAACAGTCTTCTAAGTTTTGTAGTCTTTATTGTCCCTTTTGGCAAGTTAAAAATTACATAATTTTCAAAAAAATTAGATACATATGAGAAATTACAGAGAATTGTTTTGAATTCTTCATCTCAAAATTAGTAAAATTTTAAAGTTTCAGGATACTTTTTTATGGCAATTTCAAGGTGGCAGAAATTCACCTGTTTTTTGCCTGCATGTTGAAATTGGGTTCTAGTCCAATACCACATGAGACAAAACTGATAAAGTTTAAATGGTCACAACTGTGTTGCTAATCCCTTTTTTTTTTTTTTTGGCTGTGACTATTAAAGGCTTTTATATAATTTTAGTTTGGGATACCTATTCAATTAGTCAATTTCTTTTTCCTATGTTTTATGTTCAGAACTTAAAGCTGACTGCCATGAACATTGTATTAAAAGTTGACTTTATGCAAGGCAAGGTCAAGTGCGGGTTGTTTTTTTTTTTTTTTTTTGTTAACCAAATTTCATATCTCTAGCTTTCCAAATAGTAGGTATCCCAAACCACTGCAAAAATGGGTCAAAATAGTGAAATTTCCTTCAAGCTGAACTAGCAATATTTTGGGTATTTTTAAAGTTATTTTGATGACTTTAAATTTTCTTTACATATAATTTTTTTTCTCTTTATAAGGATACAATTCTTTTTTTGTATGCTAATTAGTTTTTATTCCAGGTCTCTTTAAATGAAGCACATTTCAGTGACGGACACTTCTTTTTCTGCATTTTAAAATCGGAATTTTTTGTTTGCTTTGAAATTTGTTGTGCTCAGTTGCGTATTCTTATGCATATCAAAATAGTCCCACTTGTCAATTTGAGGTTATTTTTCACAAAAGATTTCCATGTTGAAAACTTCAGTGGATTAAATACCAGAGAAATTCACTTAAAAAAACAAAAAATAGGGCTTTAAAAATCAGTTGGTTTCATATTGCTATGCTCATCCAACTTGTTTCATTGATGGACATTTTACAGTTTCTTGGTGAGTTTAAATGTTTTTCCTATTTCTTGTAAAATTGTAATTTTAAAATGTTTGTATATATTTATAATTGTTTATAAATCTCATTTGTGTACATAAAATATTGTAATTTTAAAAACATCTATTTTATATTTACTAATTAATTTTGGGGATTAGCAGCTAATTTCATGGATTAAATTGAACATTTATTTAAATTATTTTTAATTACTCAATACATTTTATAAGAATTAAAGTGAAATAAGATTTTTCAGTTGAACTACTATTGTGTGTCTGCAAAAAATTGCATTTTCTAAAATTAAACTATATTATTTTAAATGGATATATTTCTTGGAAGATGTTTTTTACTTTTAGCAAATTATTTATTTCTTTATTTCTAAATTTTTAGCAATTACTAAATTTTTTTAACTTTGAAAGTAGGTTTTACTTTTATTTTATGGTAATTTTTATCTTTAACAAATATATTTTTAATTAACAGTAAATTTAACACTTTAATTCACTAATAACAATTCAAGAACAAATATGGATCTGTTTTTTAGTGCTTTCCATGCTTTGAGACTAGGTTTTTAAATTTACATGTACTTAGGAATATTTAAAATCTTCTGTTCAGTGAATGAACTAAAACATCTTGAGAGATTATTTTCTTGTAGGTGGAAGAGGCAGGCCAAAGATGACCCCAAATTCCTTGCAATGTACAAAAAGGTTGCTGATGAAGTTAAAACACTGATGAAAAAAGTGTTTGGCAGAGGATGCTTAATGGGTTGCAGTTCATCTATTTTATTAACCCAACTTCTGTAATGTTTATGGTTTTAAGGACCATGAAGTAAATGAGAAAGCACTTAAATAGGCAAAAGAGTTCACAGGTTTAGAGGACAATTTAAAAAAAAAAAAAAAATTCACAATATTTCTATGGAGCATTTTTTTTTTTTCTCCCCTGCCCTTATTTTTTTTTTGTTATACAAGAAGTGTTCAGCTTTTTACTTTCAGGTTTTTTACATGGTTCTGCAAACTGTCCTAATACAAAAGATGGAACGGTCAAAATTGATGAAGCAAGTTCAAACATTTAACTTCGGCCAAGAAAAATTTAATCACTGAAGGAGAAGATGACTTAAGAGCCTTTTTTGATTCTTCCCATTTGCTGTTTTTTGTAACTAATGAACTATTTCATTTAAATTACATCACTGACTTGAAGACCCAGTTAGTCAATGACATTTCACAAGTCAAGTCAACTTTTGTCTTAAGAGGGGACTTAGATGTAATGCCAGTTTCAAGTGATGATAGAATCTGGAATGTTATAGAAACTTTAAAAGAAAATTCAGACTACAAATCGCCATTAGGAGAGGAACTGCAGTAGGATCATTCAAACTGCCCAGAAAGTTCCAATAAATGTAGTTTATGCATTTCATAATTTTTTTTTTTTTTTTTTTTTTTTTTTTAGTGTTACAATAAGCATTTGTTTGAAAAATTGACCACTGATTCCTTTTGTATAATAAGTTTCAAAGTTTTGATGCTGCCAGTCCTTTTTGGGCAAGTCAAAAAATTGTATAAATTTTCAAAACCTCAAATACATTTGAGGAAAAATTTTAATGTTATAGACAAAATAATTATTTTTGCTAAATTCCTCAACACAAAATGAGTAGTCTACAAGTTTGGAGCTTGTACCTTCACTGGATACTTTTTTAGTATTCAAGAAGCAATATTTTTTTACACTCCCTCTCAATATCAAATTTTGCTTCCACCTGTAATTACATAGTGAAATAAGAGTTGTTTTACTGATGTACTCCTGTGAAAAAAAAATTTCAGATTAATCTCTAACATATTATGAAACATGACTGAACTGTAGGATTTAAATTTATATAAATGGTCAAAGTTGCATTCCTGTGTTATTTTTGCACTGTTCTTTAGGATGGGATGTGATATTTTTTTTTTCTCCCCATAACTAATAATTATTAATTCCATCAGTATTATCTTTCATTATGACATAATGATTTTTCACTTGTTTGAAGCCTGCACCTTCACATGGGCTTCTGACTAAATTGTGCTTGAGATGGAAAATCACACAAACTGAAATTGACCTAGCAAGATAAATTTGGTACTTTTTTTTTCTTGTCAAGCTCTATATACCTATATGAAAAGCTAGCTATATTGAAAAAGAAATACTTTGGGTAATTTGAAGAAATTAAAAAGTGATCACTACAATTATTTAACTTTTCCAGATACAAGTTCAAAGCTAAAGAAGTTGACAGGAAAATCTTTCAAACACGAACTGGAATAAAAGAAATACCAAAGAAAGAAGTTACTATCCCTGTTCCTTTTGACCTACCTGGATGCAAACTACCCACTTACAAAAAGGAAGTTGAGGAGGAACACTTTGTTTTCCATGCTCGGCCTTTACCTACTGATATTCTGGAAAGAGTTGTGGTAAGGAATATTTGGTATACATATGTTTTCTCTATAGTTGATGCCATTAGTAGATTTGTTATTGGAAAGGTTTAACATAATTAAAAATAAAACAAAACTATTTCCATTATTATACAGTGACTTATTAAAACTGTTGGCCTTGTTTTTTAAATTGCTATAGTTCTAATATTTCAAATACCCATACTTTCCAGTCTTTGTCTTTGTGTGTTTCCTAGTATTTACATTTTAAACAACTTTTGACATAACACCTTTTTGAACCCACCCATTGTTCAAGTGAACAAAACTATTAGAACATGTAACTGACAGGTGTTTCTTGTTGCCAAGATGTTATGTTTTAGATTGTTTAAACAATTAAATAGCTCTTGATGACTACTCTTGGTTTTAGTATTGAATTTTTACCTGCATTCCTTGTTAAAAAGGATAAACCAACATAAAGATGAGAGAGCTGTCTATGGGAGAAAAGCAAGCCATTTTGAAGCTGAGAAAAGGAAAATTGATCAGGGCCATTATGTGACGGTTACACACCTGGCCCAGGGTCGGATCCTTTGGTTACGGCGCCAACGGTGACGTCGCTCCTCCTGGTCGCTCCTCCTGGGTCCAAGCGTGCCGCTCCAACCCCTTGGTCAGATGATCACCAGCCTCGCCTTTCCCGACTCGCTTCCAATACCTGGTCACTAAAGCAACTGTACCGATCTCCGGTCTGTCTACCCACGCTGTGTTTAGATCTTAGACAGACGGGACCAGCAGGGATTGGGGCCGATACAAGTTGAGTCCGACGGGGGTGGCAAAACACAATTGAAAGAGAAAATAAACTCACGAGACAAAAAAGATTGCTGATGAAAAAAAAATGGGTAACAACTATTATATTAATTATATCTATATTATATATATATTATTATATTATATTAATTATATCTTAATGTCCGCTACATAAAAACAAAATTGTTCTCATTTCCCGACCCGCTCTGTGGACTATGGCACCAAGCTTCTATCACACAACCTAAAAGATTTCTCTTGCCTACTCTTTAGAATTGTGTATGTCGGAGTGTGGTTTGGTTCGACACTGGGGCTAATTTCTATCGATCATTCGCAGTTGATTCTTCTCTCCGACTTGAGTTGTATTTCTTCTTCTTCTCTTCGACTTAGGCTGGAAGTTCTCTTGTCTTGACTTGGGCTGGAAGGATCTCTTGCCTTGTACTCTCTGTCGTGGAGGTGATCTCTTCTTTTGTCTGCCGTCCGGGGCTGAACTCTTCTGTCTTCGACTTGGGTGGAAGGATTTCTTGTCTGAGGATTCTCTTGCCCGCAAAGGCTCTTGAATCCGCCGGCCCGATGCCCTCGTTCAGGCTCTTTCCTGCCCTCGGTCCAGCTGCAACTCCACTCCAACTCCAACTGATTTCTGTCGACTGGGGTCCTGCTTTTTATTGACGCCGCAACAAACTGGGGTGGGTCTGTCGGCGTCAGGGTTTTCTCGATAATTCCAATAGCTGCATTATTTCTGTCTTCTCCATTATCGCTATTGTTTTCACCCCTACTTCTTCATAGTACCTTTGGTGGGGCGGCGCACATCCATCTCTCTTAGTCTCTCGTATGTCAGGTGACCGCTTTAACCAATGGTTCCTGATCGGGCATTTCTTTCCCTTCTCTTCCGCAGATCACGTGACCGTTCTTGACCAATCGTTCCTGATCGAGCATTTCTTTCCCTTCTCTTCCGCAGATCACGTGACCGTCTCCGACCAATTGTTATTGATCGAACATCCTTTCTCCTCTTTTGCGGGCGTGGTTACATCGTTCTTGTTTTAAAAAAAAAAAAAAAAAAAATCAATTTTTTTTTTTTTTTACGTCAAAAAATGACAATCTTGGCTTTCTCTCACCTGGACTTTGTCAAACAGCCCGCCGCTAATTAGACTTGACTTCAGAAAGGATCTTTTCCGCCTTCTTGGCGCCTCTGTGAGCCAAAAGCAATTGTCCCTCTTTTTACCTCTTTGTTTTTCCTGATAGTCAGAAAATCTTAATTATCTACTTTGAAAATGTCTCCACTTTATTAACGTGGGTGTCCAATTCTTAACAGGTCAGGATCTGTATATCGTTCCACCGGTCACCCCCAACCCAAAGACACTTTTTCTCTGATTAAAAATTTCATTTCTATTGTTCTAAACCAAATTGATAAGGAGTCTCTCCACGCAAAAAGTCGGTCAGATGCTTTGACCGATATCTGGTCTACATCAGCGGCCCGTTTTGATATCATGTCTTTTCCTTTCTTTTTTTTTATTATTTCTAATTCTATTCTTCCAATTGTCTTTTCGAAAAATCGGCCAAGACGCTGACCTAAATCTCTTTCTGACTCCTATCTCCACCCTCAATTGGGTCATGCATCATACAACTCTTTTTCTCTCTTCTTCTTTCTTTTTTTTTTTTTTTCTTTCTTTCCTTCTTCTTCCCTTAAGATCGTCTAGTACAATCTTAGTGAATTATTTTCAACTCAGTTATTTTCCGTTTTTAAAAAAAAATCAACAACCTGTTTAGTAACCGAGTAAGAAAAAATTAAATCATATTTCTATGAATATTTCTAATAATGCAAGGTGCCACAATTATGTTTAATGCCTGCCTTGTAGATGACACCTTTATACATACATTTATGGTTCATTGGACAGTTAATACTTTATCAACAATTATACATTTTTGTGTTAATATTGCTATTGGTGTTGCTTAAGTATTTGTTAAAGTTACATTATTATGCTGTGATATATGTTGCTTAAGGTTTCTACTTCTAGTTCAGTTGTAGCTAATCTTAATATTGTTCTTATTGAAGCTTTTGAGTTAAGGGTTATGGTTGAAATGTTGGTGGATTAAAAATCATATGGGTCTTGGTTTGATATTACTGTTAAAAGGTAGGTTAAACCAAATTATATTTTCTATTCTTACATTTATTATTGGCATTCTTACTAATGTTTGGAATGTATTCTAGTTTAACTTTGTGTTTACTTTTATTTAGTGCATCTACATAATTAGTTTTACATTTGTCAAAAATAATTTTGTTGCTAGAGTTGAGAATCTGTGTTGTACATATTTGTGCAAGTTATTTAAAATTCCAGGTGGGTGGTTGGATTCTTCGCTAATTTATATATGGTTATAAAGCTCTTTAGTATAAAGCATGTGTACTCCTGTATAGATTAAAATAGTGTTCAGAAAATTGATTACCTTTTCCAGTCAGCTGGGCTGAGGCTTTCTCATATTTCTTAACTTCTTTACATATAGCTTTGTGGTGTATATGTTTGATTTGTCAGGAAGTAGACTTCCTGATGGTATTGATTTGGTGGGAGTGATCCCAGAGTGCAGCATGTTTAGGAAGTGCCTGAAACCATACCATGGGTTGACCCAATCCTTGTGTGTGAAATTGGGTAGACAGAACCTTTGCATACTCCTGACGGCTGTTCTAGCACCAAGTCACTGTTACTGAGAGTTTGAATGTGCTGGCCTTGTTCAGATTATTGATCATGCTAGATAACTTGCTCTCTCCCAGAAACTGTAACTAAAGTCTGCTCAGCATAGTTATAGTTTAAACCACAGGTTGGCTCTGTGGGTGTTGAACAAACTCAAATGCATCTGAGCGGCGTTTGCAATAGGTATTTGCTCGCTGCACTGGTATTCTAAGACACTATTTTTATTATATATATGAAAGTACATTTTCTTTTTTTCTTAATTTTCTCCTATATTAGGGTGTGAAACCTGCTGAAGTAATCCCCCCAACTGTACCAGAATCACCTGCCTTTGCTCTTAGACAGCGTATTCAGCGTTTTACAGTAAATGTACTCAAACAGGTAAATTTTACTCTTCATTTTCTTCCTTACCATTATTTTTTTTTTCCAATATTATCAGTATTCTAGATTTAAATATTGTTTTCTCTTGTAATATTTGTCATTATTTTTATCGGGATTTGTATTTATGTATTATTAAAAGCTTATATTTCCTTTTGTTGTCAAAAGGAAGTATAAGCAAGTTTGTTTGGCGGAGTAGTGTTACATGTAATGTTTCTTGTATGGACAAAATTTAATTTTTGATATTCTACTTAAGGCAAGAAAAAGATTTCAGTATTGCACTTTGTCAGATGCAATAAGGAAATTTGTTCATATGATAAATCTATATATAATAAACGAATGGGATGCTGAAAAGTTCTCGCCTATTCCTTAAATCTGATCATATCTTTCAGTTTAGAAGATTTAAGTAAAATCGCTATCATGCCTATATTAATTTTTATGATATTTATATTTCATATCTAAATTTGTTTATTTGTGCAGGAAACACAGATACGAAAGATCAGGGCTAGGCCTTATGTGCATTCTGGAGTAAATTTTGAGCCAAAATTTGAGCATCGAAGCACAGTTGCTGAGCCATTTAGTTTTGATGAAAGAATTAAGGAAAATCAAATAAAGAAGGAACAGAAAATACAAAAATTGATTGATGAAAGTACAAAGGTAGGGGAACTATGACTTAAAACAATAAAAATAAGTATTTTTTACTCTTGTGAGAAGAGGTCTCATTAATTTTTTGTGTTTAAATTTTGGTTCCAGTGCTGTTCATTTGCTTGTTGCGTGTGGCTACAGGGAATTTCATAATGTCTGCAATATAACTTATATATACTCAATGGAATTTAAATCTTGTGAGAACAGGGACCAGCAACAATTTTGGAAATCCACTGTTCCTGAAATCAGTTTGATATCATATGTAGAAAAATGTAAGGTGGCAGTGTTATCTTGCTGAAATAAACCATCACTACTAAGAAACATGGCAAGCATAAAGCAGTGTCTTATGATCCTTTCAAACTTCAACGGAACAAATTCAACACTGTTACAGAGCTTTCACACCATGCTGATGTGTATGTAAGAAACCATTTTTTCACACACACTGAACCATCTGCCTGAAATGTCTGAAAAACATGACTCATATGATGAGCTACAGTAACTGGTGCTATTGTGTTGATAATGAAACTTCATGGAATGCTTGAGTTTAATGCAACATCTATAATTGTTGTCAATGTCTCTTCAGAACCCATCTTTTTCTTGCTGAGTCCATTTCTGCAAGTATGCAAAAGTTAAACCATCCACTGTACAGCAGACTTTTTATGCTAAATAATATTAAAAATTAATTTGGGTTTGTTTGAAGACTATTATGGTGATGCTTTTTTTCTTTTCTTTTTTTTTTTATCAACTGAATTCTTTATTTTATGTTTTTAAAATTCTTTTAAAAGTTTACTGATAATTTTTTTTATGAAATTGGCAGGTTGCAGAATTTAGTGCTAATCCAATTCCTGATTACACTAACACTGGTATTCCTCCCAAAAAAATCTCAACAGTGACCAAATTTGCTCCATTTAAGCTTCATATTGAAGAAAGAGTTGAAAAGAGAATTGAAGAGAAGCAACAGCAAGTAAGTTATATGGTTGTCTCTTTATATTAGTTTTTTGATTTATAAAAAAAAAAATCTTAAAGAATAAGGACAACACATTTCAAGTATGATAGTCCTGGTATTAAATTATTCATATGCTTCAGCCAAATGTCTATTTTTGTGAACTCTGTTTAAGTAACAGATATACAATGCCTGGCTTTTTTTTCTCTATTAATTTAGTTGACAGGGATATTTTGAGTGATAATGTTAATATAGAGAAAATTTATATTGACTTTTTTAATAAATAAATCTTTAACTGTAACCTCAGTTTCTTTATAATAATGTGGAATGTTCTGGCCCCTGCGCTACATGACAATGCCATCCCATCCTCGGTCACCAGTGTGTCTGTGATTGAATCTTGTGGCTGACTGAAGTTGGCCACTTCAACCCAAGCCTCTCCTTGTGCCACGTTGTATGTGTTGATCACAAGGTAAGCAAGGATCAAATTGTCACCAGATATCACTGGATTGGTGTTGTTCAGGTGGGATGACATAAGACAGAAAGTTGTGTAAATCAACAAGCTTTATATAACTGAGTTTTATACAGGAACACTTTTTTTCATATAAGAATCTACAAGCATGGTTAACAACCATTCCCTCGTAGTCTAATTTCCTGACACATTGGTCTTCATTTCTAAGTTGGAATCAAGTCGGAAAAATTATGAAATGCTGACAAAGCACTCATCTCACTCTCTCTGTTGTTATATAGACTTTCATTTCTTCCACTTTGCAATTTCATCAGTGCACTCTACTCAATTTATCTAATAGTCTGGAATAAGGCATGAGTCAGTTTTCTGTGGCAGCAAATCACAGAGATCACCGAAACAATTCTCTTGGTGTAATGGAAGCATGTCTCTACCTCTCTCTGTAATTTACCTCTGATCTAATGCTTTTATGGACTTTTGCCCAATATTGGTGTGGGGTCTGATGTGATCTCTGGTTTCAGGATTTTCCAAATATCCAATCAGAACTCTGCTGACAGTGTCCTGGGAAGCAATTTGCATGTCCAAATTTGGGGAATCCTTCCTCTGGAGAGTAGCGGTAACAAGGTGTTGTTGACCTGCCCCACTTACTCCTTCCTTCTCTTATTTGTACCTTATACCAATGCCCTTCATTGGGTGTAGTCTATTTTCTCCCACACTTTCTCATTCACCAATCTACTGGGTCAGCACACATTCATTAATTAAAATTATTCATCTCAACCTCATATTATCAGAGATGTTCTTTGTCATGAAAAGTTTTTTTGATATCTTTCAGATTTCCCATCTTGGATAATTAATATTTCTTTCATTGTCTTTCGGGGAAGGCTTTGACCAAACTGTTATCTTACCAATTGACTGAATTCTTTATCATTCGAATTCTCTATTGTCTTGAAAGAAATCTTATTCTTTTAGCAACATCAACAAGGGACATAAAATCATTTCTTTACCCTCTTCTTCCCCTACTTGTAGCCATAAAATTACTTTCTGTGACTAGCTTGGTGGTTTCTGGCCAAAACAATACTGGCCCTGGCCAATTCGCAGGTGTTATTGCACTCCCCTCGCATTGTCCCTTGGGCTTCACTTTGAGCTCCTTATCCATGAAAAGAGAAACAAAAATAAAAGTATATTTTCTTTTTGTTTTCAGTATGTTCTTCAATCTATCTACTAACTTCTTTGTTTTTGTGTTGACTTTCAATTTAATTTAGGCCTTTTTTTTTCTTTCTTTCAAATTATTAGCATTCTTACAGTGTCATCTCTTAATGTTCATAATTTACAACACAAAACAAGATCTAAGCAACTCAATGAAGGAAAGAAAAAGACTGATGTATTGTTTCTGCTCAATAGAAGAATTCTGCTATTGCAGTTAAAATATCTATGCATTGTTATTTGGGTGATGGTCTGTGGTATCATAAATTGCAAGCATGTATATAATTTAAATGAAACTATTTCTCATGCCTTTACCTGTAACAAAAACTAAATCCACATCCTTATTCACAATAAAATAAAAGCTTACATTGCAATGGTAACAAACATCACTTGAATTAAAGCAAATGATATAAAGGAAAAAAGTTTGGATAATGTTACTTCATAAAATATTGACTTATACCTTTTCTCTTTTTACAACTGAAAAAAAAGCTTGAAGAAAAGATGAAATTACAAGAAGAAAAAATGCAATTTAAGGCCCAATCTTGTGAAGTTGTGAAAAAGGCTCCATTTGTGCCTCACTTGGACCATAAATGCACACAAGGTAAAATTTTTCTTTCTCTTCCTTTTTTTCCGTCCCCTCGTTCTCTTCCTTTTTTTTCCGTCCCCTCGTTCTCTCCCTTTTTTTTTCCGTCCCCTCGTTCTCTCCTTTTTTTTCCGTCCCCTCGTTCTCCGTCCCTCGTTTTTTTTTTTTTTGGTCCCCTCGTTCTCTCCCTTTTTTTTTCCGTCCCCTCGTTCTCTTCCTTTTTTTTTTTTTTTTTTTCCGTCCCCTCGTTCTCTTCCTTATTTTTTTCCGTTCCCTCGTTCTCTTCCTTTTTTTTTTCTCTTCCTTTTTTTCTCTTCCTTTTTTTTTTTTCCCCTCGTTCTCTTCCTTTTTTTTTTTTTCCGTCCCCTCGTTCTCTTCCTTTTTTTTTTCCGTCCCCTCGTTCTCTTCCTTTTTTTCCGTCCCCTCGTTCTCTTCCTTTTTTTTTTCCGTCCCCTCGTTCTCTTCCTTTTTTTTTCCCGTCCCCTCGTTCTCTTCCTTTTTTTTTTCGTCCCTTCGTTCTCTTTTTTTTTTCCGTTCCCTCGTTCTCTTCCTTTTTTTTTTTCCGTCCCCTCGTTCTCTTCCTTTTTTTTTTTCCGTCCCCTCGTTCTTTTATTTTTTATTGTTTTTTTTTTTTTTTTTTTTTTTTTTTTTTTTTTTTTTTTTCCTTTTTTCCCGTCCTCTCGTTCTTTTATTTTCATTGTTTTTTTTTTTTTTTTTCTTTAATGGTTTTTATAACTTGTCATTACACTCAAATGAGTACCCTGCTATTTTCAAAATAAATTTCAATTTTGATATGCTTATTTCACTGATGTCAATTGACATAATTTAAAGAGTGAACTATTATTTAGTCTGGGTAACAGGTATTACATACCTGTTTACATATACAGTGCTTTCATTGAGGGTTATATACTATATCATCTAGTATCCTGTTGCAGATTAGTGGAAGAATATTTAAGAAGTGCACTTTGTAATAAACTTTGCAACCTAATATTATGCATTTTTTTTATCAAACCTCATGCACTGAGTAGAAGTAACTGTGAAACCAAGATGGCTGCGCATATATAAGAAACAGTATTTATTACTTGACTCGTACAATGTCAGCTAGTAGTTCTTGGTCAGTGGAGAGTGCCAGAAGTTCACATGAGGCTGGAATTGAGGGAAGACCACTCATCCAGAGTCAATTATGTTATAACCACCTGATGTATAGATAATTGTTCATTAAAAAAAATTGTTGAATGAAGTTTTGATTAATAATTTTGACGATAACTATAGTTTTTCTTTCTGGGGACATTGGCCATCAATAGGCATCTGATTAAATATTTTCTTTACTGTTTTTGTTTGGTCTTGTTATTCTCAATGATTACTTTTTTATTCTTTGCTGCTGATGTTGCTGCTTACTTTGTCTTACCTAATCTTTGCAGCTGCTTCAGATTTGGGTAAGTTTCATGAAGCCCATGTGCACTAAATGTCCATTCCTTAGTGTGTATTTCTACTATTGACTATAACTTTATGAAAAGTCATTAATGTTCTCAAACATGTCAAAATAATAAAAATTCTTAGCATCTAAAATGAGATACAGCAGTTGAAATTTTCAATGACAGACACACAAGCAACAAGAAAAGAAGACACTCAGTGGTTGAGTATTTAAACAACTCTAGCATTTGTGATGAAGAATCAACTCGAGTGACCTTCAGCTATGATCACCAAGGCCTATGGGTTGCAGCATATGACCCATATGTGGAATCAACATTAGTCTTCAGATGGGATTTTGATGTAATGCCAGTTTCAAGTGATGGCTGGATATGAAATGTTCCAGAAATAGTTCGCAAATCACCATTATGAGAGGAAGTACTCATGTTGTTGTTGTTGTTTTTTTTTTTTTTTTTTTAGTCATTACTGCCCTGTTTTTGATGTTGAAAATTACATAATTTCACAAAATAAGATATGTATATTACAAAAAGTATCCAAATTACGGTATGGCAAGTTCTGTATGGTATACTTTTTACCTGTTTTTGCCCTACTGCCAAATTGTGCATCCAGAAACAAACACTTGAGTACTGGAAACAAAATACAGCAGTCAGTACAAATTGGCACAAATCTGCAAAGTGAAGAAAGTGCATAACTTACTATTAATATTTCATAAATTGTACTGCATATGATTTTGTTTTGTTTCACTGTTAATGATATTTAGTTTTTCTATTACAGAACATACAAAATTTAAGCTATACACTGAGGCTCGTCATGCCCAGCGTGTGCAGTTTGAGGAGCAGAAGAAAGCACGTGAGGCTGAGTTATTGGTTATGCGTTTGGAAGCAGATAAGTTGCGCCAGGAGGAGGAAGAGAGAGAGATCCAGAGACTAAGACAAGAGGCTGTACACAGAGCAAATCCAATTAAGCATTACAAGCCAGTTGAGATTCAGCACAAAAGTTTGTCAGTCACAATTCCGCTTGAACCTAAGTTTGCTACCAAGAACAGAGTGCGTACCAATGACAACTATGAAAAATAATTTTTAATTTCTTCATCTTTTCTGTCTTTAATTTCTACCCTTTCATTTTTATCAGTTTTCAGATAGAGGGTGGGAAAGATGGATAGAAAATGTTTCATTTTTATGTATTCTGAAAAAGTTCTTTTTCTTCAAAAATTATTGGGTATGTTATCCATTAATTTTACTTTTTTTTTTAAATAGGCCATTAAAGTATTTGCATAAATGTGAAAAATAATTCCAAATGTTGGTTTGTAATCCTTATAAAAGCAAATTCTTATAGTAGAATTTTGTTCAGCTACTTAGAAATACATTTTTTTCTCTTATATTTTTGTCTTTCATGTAGCTTATTTTTATGAACTTTGTTTTTCTTACACATTTAAAATTTAAAGAATCTATATTCTTCATATTCACAGATACAAATAAATAGTAAATATTCCGATTAATTCTGGTTTTCTCAAAATATTTCTGAGAAAACCAGAATTAAAGAGAATTATAAGCCTTGAAAAACAAACTTGCACAGAGCACAAATCTTAGTGACTACTCCTACTGTGTATACATATACACTAGATTGGGGTGGATGTGTGCATAAGTGAATTTTGCTCTTGTCAAACCTTCATGGTATAAATTTCAATGTAAAACTAAAATTATTGCTTCATGGGCCTTTTAGCATCTATCTTAGCTTCTAGTTAATATTTAAATATTGTATTGTGTTTATAATATTCAATAGCATCCCTTGGGCTTTTTGATCCCATAGAAAATAAATATAAAGTCTTTATACTGATCAAAAATCAACAATTTAAGTTTTAATTTTATTTTTGTATTTTGTTCTATTTGCCCCAAACCTATCTTTTTCTTCTGAGAAACGCACATACAGTCCATCTGAAGTTATACAAATCACAAATCTCTAACACAAATTTGCTTGGGAAAATGTTTTTCTAATTTTAAACAATTTAGACATCAAAACAAAGCATTAAGTTAATTTTTTTAGGTGGTTTTAACATGTTTTATTAAAGTTGGATTTACTATAAAAACTGCAGTGTGAAGTTAGTATGCAAAACTAGAAAATAACTTTTTACTTCAATAATAAAATTATCAATAATTGCCCAACACCTGTAATGAAACAAATAATATACATATATAAATCTTTGAAGCATTTGCATCTTAATATAATGACCAGCAATCTATTATCCATTGATAGCGTTAAATCTTTTACTTCAGCAGGTTCAATTTCTGATATGGTGATTTTTAATTGCTTCCCATAGGTCTGTTTTGCTCTCATATAATTTCTTCACAATTGACCATAGATTTTTGACCTAATTCAAATCAGAATTAGGCCATTCCATTTTTTCTTGCAAACCTTTTACACTAAAAAAAAAAAAATTATGGGTAACCTTAGATAAGGAGCATTGCCACACTTGACTTTGAAACTGGTCCACATTCAAAGAAAGTTTTATCCATGAAATTGTGATAGTTAACACTCTTTCATCGATTTTTGAATGGTCCAATAATTGTTTGCTCAACAATTCCAGCCCATGTAATCACAATGCTGCCTCCTTGCTACAGGCAAATCTGTATCTGATAAAATCCATCTATCAGTTCTCTTGTGTCACCCAAGATTCATCCATGAAAATTACTTTTTAGAAAAGTCAATTTTCATTTATTTCTTGGGCTGATTTTGACACTTTAAAATATTTGCTTTACTAAAAGCAGTATGCTTAGATTTCTTGACAGATCTCAATTTCTGAAGTTTTCTACACACTTATCAATTTCAGCCTCTTCAAAAGTGGTTGTTTTGCTATAACTCACGTTCCCCTTTTTCCTTTTCTTCTAGTTCTCAAGTTATATTTTCAACAGCTCTCATTATCAATGTTCTCTTTGAAGTTCCTTTGATATCTCCACTGTGGATATAACTTTTATGTGTTTTTCAGCATTTATTAGATCATGTCCATTACTCATATTTCAATAATAGTTTTTATTAGATTTCAGAGACCTTAAACTAATATTAGTTTAATTTGCATAATTTTAGACTGCAGTTAGTATAATAACCCCATTAGCTATCCAAACATTTAACTTGTACTTTGTTAACGTCTAAATTAATCATTTAAAATTTGACAAAAAATTTTCAAAACAAATGGGAGTTATTGAACTTTGATATGAATAACTTTTCTTTCTTTTTTTCTTTTTCTTTTTTTTTTTTTTTTTTTTTTTTTTTTTTTTTTTTCTTTCTCTTTTTTTTCTTTTTCTTTTTTTTTCTTTGTTTTTTTTTTTTTTTCTTTCTGTTTTTTTTTCTGTCTCTGTTTTTTTTTTTTTGTTTCTGTTTTTTTTTTTCTCTTTTTTTTTTCTTTCTGTTTTTTTTTTTTTTTTTTGTTTTTTTTTTTTTTTTTTTTTTGTTGTTTTTTTCTTTCTCTGTTTTTTCTTTCTCTGTTTTTTATTTCTTTTTTTTTTTTTTTTTTTTCTTTCTCTGTTTTTTTTTTTTTGTTTTTTTTTTTCTTTCTCTGTTTTTTTTGTTTTTCCTCTTTGTTTTTTTGTTTTTCTCTCTCATGAACCAAACTTAAATGATTATCACCGAGGAGTTTGTAAAGAGAAAAAATCTGTAACTTAGGCTTTTAAAGATTTGTATCAAAATAGTGTATATCCTTTTCTAATTGTTTTCCCTCTTTTCACATGTCTTGGGTGCCTAATAAAGAAAACTGCAAAAAGTTAGTTTCTAATATTTCTATAATTACATGTATATAATCTACATTTTATATATATACATGACCATATTATTTTCTCAGACATTTTGTTCAAATATATTTTTGTTAAAAAAAAACAATTGGTTATGCCATGAGCACTAATGGATTAATATTTCATTCTTTGTTTTATCTTAAATGTTGTCCAATTGTAGTAAGATATTCATTTTCTGGAAAACTTTGTCTGGCTACTTTCATTTCTTCTCTTTAAATCTGAAGAATTTTGTAATTTTTATTCATTAACTTATTTTTCTCCTTTTCTAGTGGGTAGAGTATATTTTCTGCATCTTAATGATTATGAACCAAACTATAACTTTGATCTATTAAAAAAATAAAAACTTGTGTATAATGCATAATTTTTTTTTATTTTTATTATGAACCCACCTTTCCATTTTTCCTAATACTTTTTTGTTTTGTAAATTAATATTTTGTATGCATGTGCATTTTATATACAATAGAATTGAGTTTCAACAATGTATTTTAATAATTTGCCTACTCTTAGGTATTTTATTTTTAATCAACAATTTTAAGCTAATATTTTACCTATATTTGGAAAACCTTTTTAGTTTTTCAAGATATCTTTGACTTTTATTTTGAATTTATTCCTGTACAGCATTATTGCCATTCTACTACTAAAGTGTATTAATGACCAACTTTACTTTATAGGTTAAAAAAAATTAGCTCATTTTCATTTTATTAAAAATGAAGTATTATTTGCATTTGCATCACTGAAAATCTATAGAATATATTAAATAATTTACTTGAATATACTTTGCCATTTCTTTATTTCTCACTCTAGCTCTGGTCACAGATTAAGGAAGATTGATTATTGGCTGAAAAATCTTTTTCAAACTTGATTTGGGTGGGGGTGTAAAAAGAAAAAGAAAAAAAACTAAATTTCACCCTTTTTGTTTTCATCTTCATCTTTTGTATTTTTGTAAATAAATTTTGATCACCGCTTACTCTGTTTTTTCTGCTTTACATAAGTTTTTATGCATTTTTCATATCCTCATCAATATCATGATTGTTGGAGGTAGCAGATATTCATTATTGCTGATGAATTTTATTTGTATTAGGAAAAACATGACTTTATCTGAATATTGTTTTCAAAAATAGAAATCTTTGTAAGAATTGGTTAAAATATAGACTAGTTAATGTAAAGCAGATTTTAATAAGAGCAACTATATTTTTATGGTCATCTCTGGCTTTTGGGGGTGGGGTGAAGTGTTACAGGCTACTTAGAGGTATAGCATCTGTTAGGGTCCCAGCTATTGGCAAATAGTGAAGCAAAAACAAAACATTATGAAAGTAGAAAAATAACAGCAATACATTTTCATATAGTCAAGTTACCAACCTTATTTATGATTAAAAGCAAAAAATGAATGATAATTTTGAAAATGTAAATTTCCTTTGGGATTTGAAAATCAATTTATTTTGAACAAAGGAAAATGTTAACCAGAATGTGTGTATGTGCAATTAGTCATTGGAGTTTTTCTGTTATCTAAATCTTTGGATAACAAATACACTCCTATCGAGAATTGAGGTTAAAAGGTTAGTGGACAGTGTTGAACAATGCTCCTGACACCTATATCTGAAGAAAACTGGCAGAAAAGAAAGAAATAGAGAACTGTTGAGCAAAAGCCAGTTGATCTTACTGTGAAATATTTAGCCAGGTGAAACTAGAATCCCTACTGTGTATCAGAGGGGAGGATGAAGAATTGAATATTGTAAAAATATTTTCCAACAGGTGTGATTCAGAAGCTCTATTTTTCTCCAGAAAAATATTAATTTTTGTATAAACGGCTAATAGCAGTTGCCAAAAATAGTTATCAGGAGAGAAGAGATTACAGTTTTGTCAAAAACAGAGCTGCTGCTAATTTTAGGATGTTCTGTGAATGAGCTTACGATAGTTCAGGAAGTTTGACAACACTTTATTTGTCCCTTCTTGTAGATCCAAAAGGGAACTCATACTAAAGAATTGTTTGTTTTTTGTTTTTTTTATTTAAACAACTTTCTCCAAGTATTTTATTGACTCATGAACTTTTTAAAATATTGTTGCTGTAAAATCTAGCTTAAAGAGACAGAATAAAGGAAACTCTGAAGTTTTATCATCAAATCTGATGTTGTGTCATTCTTTATTGATTTTGACATCTGAGGAAACCTGAGACAAGATGTGCAGATGATCCATTAAAATTCACCACAGCAGAAATTTGTTACTTTTAGTAGCAAATTGTGACACAATGTGTTTAATTCCTTGTGATCCAGCAGACACAATTTCAGCATTGAGAAGATCTATTTGGCCAGGAATCAAGGAAAAGTTCTGCCTTATGCCAGTAACCAGATTGCAGTTGAAGTGACAAGATGGTATTCAGCGACATATCTGGGACCGGGTCAGCTTAACGTTACATACATATTTAATAAAAATTACCAACAATACATTTTTAAAACGAAATTACCAATAATACATTAGAATACCAACAATACATTTTATAGCAAAATGACTAACAATGCCTGTAATATCAGTAGTTGAAGCCATAAAATTGTGTTAAAAATTAGATTTCAGCATTAAATAACCCATAGCGCTCAATATACTGCTAAACAAAACAACCAACTTAGATAATTAGTCATGGTATTTTTTTACTTTTTCCTCTTACTGAGTTTCTTATTCCTATGGCTGTAACTAAAGTGAATGTATACTTATAGATGTCACATCCACTGTAGATTAAGGATTAATTATTGAAATAGCAACTTTTGAAAATTTTCTATGTTGAAAATATTTGAGTTAGTACAAGCCATAAAATGAATAATTTTGAAAATGTAAAATAAGTTATATGGAAACAGTTTTCTGTCAAAATAATATGTATAGTGGTGTAAATGCCATTAATATCCAGTAGTCAGGTAACTACAGAAATACATATAGCTGAAATTTGTCACTACCATGCCAAAGAGCAGAAAAAAAATGTTTCCTAATTGACTAAAGGATTCTTCATGTTTTTTGCTAATTTTAATAGCATAACTTTTTGTCACATTTCCCATATTTTAGAGACCCTATGACTATTTTTTTTTTTTTTTTTTTTCCATGTGTACACTTCCTATAATTAAGTCAAGTGTATCGGAGACACCTTTTTAGATGTGGTAGTATCAACTTTCAGCTATACAGATTTTTGTAATTAATTTTGGATATTAATGTCATTTACAACATTGTACATATATTTTATGATAGAAAACGGTTTCCATATATTTTTATGGTGTTGAATCTTGTGCTAATGCAAATATTTTGAACATGGATGCTTTCTTCTTCTTCACCTCCAGACTTGATTTTTGACACTTCAGAGGAGACTATGTTTCCTACCCACCACAATAGTACACCTCTTTCTATCATGCTATGTAACACATGGTAGTAAGCCACACCTCTTTGACCCAATTGGCAGAACTATTTAATAACAGGAGGCACAAGCATACACTTGGTGATATTTAATTCAAATACTTTTTTTTTTCTACGTGTATTCACTGGGCCCTTCCAAAGTATTTTATTCTCTCATACTATAGTTTTTCAGAAATATTTTCCTGCATTGCACCACCATGTGTGAGGAAAATGCCACTATATTTAAAGAAAAAAAGATCCCTGCCCTATATTTTTGCCCAAATCAAATCTAGTTGGGAATTGAGGAATTACATCACAAAAATAAAATTCCATTTAGCTGTTTCCAAACTAACTAACAAGAAATTAGAGAATTAATAATTTCACCACCGCAATAAATCTATGTGACAGTCCAAGAGCTAATTGCAAGGACTTCAATCTCTCAAAGGACGAAATTGTCCCAACTTCTCAACGATAAAACTGAAGGAGACAGCAAACCATTGCAATTCCTACACCATCTGCAGCCAGAGAAATTACAGATGATAGTTTAGTACAACATATTTTCTTTCAGCAGCTACATCCTACTTTTCATACAGTCTTAGTCATGGTGGGTATGCCCATAGGGACGTTAGCAGAGATTGCCAATGATGTAACTTCCATCAACATGTCAATAGCAGGCATTTGGAGTCGGATCATTTTGATAAAATTTTAGAAACCAGAGCTTGGAAGCAAAAATACATGAATTAACCCTTTGAGCCCTGACCACCACTTTATCAGTGGTAGAGAAAAATGACTTAATGCCCAGCTACCGGTTGAACGGTGTGTAAACTCTTGTAACTTATATATATCTACCATGAAACATTACATACCAATTATTTGTGAGATTTTGACCCAAGTGTTCAGGCAGAAGGGTTAAAATTGCTCAGGAATGCAGGGCTCAAAGGGTTAACTAGAAGGATGGATACATTGATACAACCACATGCTACAAGTAGAAGTAACTTCTGTCATTCAATGGAAGGAAGTAAGAACCCTTTTTGTCAGTTACACAGGAAGTATGGGGATAAAACTTATTGCAAGCCACCCTGTTAAAGTCGGACCAGGAAAAATCTAAGCTGGCAACCAGACAACACAGTGTGACAGAATGGCAGAAGTCTGTTGCTAGTCAACAAATCACTTATCCAGACTTATGGCCATAGATGTCTCATTGAATTTAGGTCGAAGAATAAATTTTACTTTTTTTTTTTTTTTTTATACTGGATGTATAACTGTCTTGGATGCAGATTTTTTTGCATAAGCATGACCTCATTAATCTATCCTTCTATATCTCCTTGTGGCAATCATAAAGGACAACCCTTAAGTTTGTGAAATTTAAAGGAGTTTGCAGGTATCACAAAGCTGTCCTTCAATAGAATATTACCTTACACCATTACACCTCATATTGTCACCAGTGGCTTTTCATGTCATAGCCTCCTTTGGCGCCTGTAATTGGTAAAACAAGTCGGCTAAAGCTGAAAGCTGAATTTAGCCAAATGATAGAAAATTACATCCTTCAAAAGGTAGCGGAAATTAGCATGCCTAGAGCACTAAATGCTGTTATGGAACCAATTGTTATCCTATCTCAAATATACATGATAGCACCCCGAAATGATAAAGGAGGATATGCTGTTAAGACAGAGGATGCCAAGTGAAAGAGAGGCGTTTTCCAATAACCAAGGTGTTAATATGCTGTAAAGACTTTGAAATGTAAATGTTACAGAAAGTTAATTTAGAACACGAAATACAATCTTTTTGTAAGTGTACAAATGATATCAGATTACTAATAGAAAATTACACGAACAATGATAATTTGGAAATTTTAAAAAAAGTGGATATTGACATCGAAGTTAAAGGATGTTTTGATCTAGAATTTATTTTTAAACAAGAATCTCTTTAGTTTACAAAGAGTGACAGAGTAATTAATAGCGAGGTGATAAACAATAGCGTCTTGTGAACCTTGGAAACCAATCAATGAAAAAATTGTTTGTTGTACTTTGGTAATATGTCAGTACGTTCGTGCTAGGAAAACAGACACGTCACCAGGAGGCCAGTTCTCTTAATAAAGAGGTGAGAGTGAGTTTTGGGTTCGTCTGTTTTCATATGCAGTCGAACCGAGTGGAGAGACTTCAGAGATTGGAAAGGAAGCATTCACATGTGTTGCTGAAGCTGAGGACAAAGCAAAATACCGCTGCTAATATCTAAGAACTGTTACTCCTGCCGCTACTAATACTACTACTGAGAATGGGAACATCAGATGTTGTAGTAGTTGCCCTAAGAATAGACCAAAAAGGGTTAAAACGAAAATTACCGAAATTATTCAAAGTATTTGCGTTTGTTATTCACATACAAGAAACATTCAACTATGTGCAACAAGAATGTTTGTGTGTCTGTTTGCTTTTATATATAAAAAAGAAACATTTGTCTTTTGA